AACCTTGTCAAAAGTGAACTCCATGTTTAGCTGACTTCTGCAGATGATTTGATTGTGAGCCGGACACCAGAACCCCAGTCCTGGGCTCTTTATCCTTGGATTTCCTGTAATGTCTTGTTCAGATCTTATTAGTGCATTTAGCTCAAGGCATTTCCACTGTTCCTATGTGGGTCTGCCCTCTTGAAGACTGTGAGGCAGTGAGGGAGCTTCTTGGCCTAATTGCCCTAAGGGGTGTTTTCCATTTGACCTTCTGCATTTGTTCCCCTAAGATTCCTCTAGAAACCCATTCCACCTCTAAGAGCTCTTAGCTGGTTCCTTTTCTCCGTGGATTCTGAGCCTGCCTGCTCTGTGTGTTGTCTTCTGTGAATTGACTTATCTCTTTGCTTGTAGTCCCAGAGTTCTGTCCACTTCTCTTTGTTCCCTGTGTCTGTCCTCCGTGTGCTGGAGAATATCTTCCGGCTCTCCATTCTACCATAAGTGATTTGTAGAAATGGCTCACTGGGTGACTCTCTTACCATAGGGGAGTTCTCTAGTACCAGAAAGGCAGAGAAACATTTCCTTTGATGGCAGAATGTAAAATTGTGAAGCACAAGAGAAATGAGAATAAATATTCATTGTCCTGTTATTTATGGATATTTTGATTCATAAAATTATATACTTCTGGCAAAAAATTCAAATGCTGCAGGGTAGGTGGGAAAACAAGTGATTCTCTCCATCAGTGTGGCACCACTAGCCACTCTCTGGAAGTAATTGCTGTCAGGATTTTGTGTATCCACCTAGGAAATTTCTAGGCCTATATAGACTGTGTGTGTGTGTGTGTATGTGTGTGTGTACATGTACCTATAACTGATATTGAAATATTGAATGCCTGTTATGTACCAGGCTCTGTTTGGGTTACTGGGAATATAGCAATGTACAAATCAGATTAAATCCCTTACTTCATGGAGCTTTCATTCCAGTGGGGAGACAGACAATAAATAAATAAATGCGTAATATGATAGGTGTTGAGGGGCACTACAAAGATAATAAAATGGGGCAAGGGGCTATGAAGTGACAGGGTGCATATGTGTGTGTCACTTTAGATAGGGTGGTCTGGGGGCAGAACAGAATCTCTGGGTACTATTTGAGTGATGACTAGGAGGAAGTGAGGGAGTGAACCAGGCAAACTGCTGGAGAAGGATGTTTCAGGCAGAGTGACAGTAAGTGCAAAAGCCCTGGGGCAGGATTATTCTTGGCACCTTGGAACAGCAGTTGGTAGGAGGCAAGCATGGCTGGAGCAGAGAGCACTGGGGAAAGAGGTAGGAGCCAGGAACTTCCACACTGGCCATGGGAAGGACTTCAACTTTATTCCAAGTGAGACAGAAAAGAACTTGAAGGTTTTGAGTGTCATTCCTCCAGGATCATTCTAGCTGGTGAGTGAAGATAGAGCCCAGGTGTAGTGGGTGAATGCAGGGAAACCATGGAGGTGGAGTTGAATGCTAGATTTGCTGCTCTGGAGCACTAAGTGCACTAAGGATGTTAGCAGAAGCAACCAGAAGAAAGGTGTTGCCGTTTGCTGAGAAGAGGAAGGCTGAGAAAAAAGCAGGTCTGGGGTGGGTAGTGAATAGAGTGTTTTTAGGCATGTTAAGCTTGAGTTACCTATTAGACATTCAGGGGGAAGGATGGAGAGAACTCGAGGAAGCGGTCTGGGTGAGATCTACATTTGGGGGTTCATGGTGGAAATAAACATGGCACGCATTTTACAGGTCTTCCTGTGAAGAGGAGTCTAGTTGGCCACCGCTGGAGTCTGGGCTGGCCTCATGACTCGCTTTGACCAACAGAACGCAGGAGGAGTAATGTGAGTGGATTTGAGCCCAAGGCTCAAGAGTCCTGTACCTTCTGCTTGTGTTCTTGGAATCCTGTGACTGCTGCAAGAGGAAGCCTAGTGAGAGACATGTGGCCCGGAGCTGTGTTGTCCCAACAACAGCCCTCCAAGCCCAGACCTCTCTGTGAGTGACACCATCCTGGTCACGCAGCGGTCACCAGCTGACTACAAACATGTGTGGAAGCCTAGCTGAGATTAGTCAGGTCAGCCTAGATCAGACGCAGAACCCAGTCAAGCCAGAGTTATGAGCCAAAGAAGTTGTTTCAAGCAAGTAAGCTTTGGAGTGATTTGTTATGGAGCAAAAGCTAATGTGTGCAGAAATCATCACCATGCAGACGATGTTTTTGTGTATAAGGATAGCTTGATCCTTTTCTTACTCAAATGAGATCATAATACCATTCTGCAACTTGCGTTTTCCATTTAATGATGTGTCTAATGACAGTTTCCCATCAGACAATCCCCTTTCACTTGTTTTAACAGTTGGATGAATATATTATAATCAGCTCAACCAGTGTCCTATCAGGTGGTTTCCACAAAGCCTTGATGAACATTCTTATATATGGTATTTATATACACATGTATTTATCAAATAAATTATTTTTTTTTTCAAATAAATTCTTACAGATACAATTATGGGGCAAAAAGATTTGCATTTACAATATTAATAATTGTCAAATTATCTTCCAAAACTGATTTATTAAGTCATATGTCCTTATATATATGAGAATGGCGAGATCATTAACTCTGTACCAACATCCAAGTGTTTGCCAATCTGAGAAGTAAAAAAATGTGTTTCATTACGGTTTCATCTGCATTTTTAAATTATGAATAAGGCTGAGAATACAGGATCCATTTGTATGTTTTCCCTGTGCATCTCTCACTTCTGCTCTGCTTGTTTTCTATGGCTTGTTTAGCCTTTTTAAAAATTGAAGTCCGAGAGGTCACTGGATATTAAAGAAATGTTGCTGCACTTCTAAACACTTTCAAGATACAGACTTTTTCACTTCAGTTCTAGAAGAGTTCGAAAGGCAAATAATAACTTCCTACTTTCATCAAGTGTTTTGCAAGTAACAAAACATTTTACATTGTGTCACCTAATATAATCACACAGCTGTCTTCTGAGGCAGGTCTTGTCCCATCGATTGAATGGATGATGAAGAGGAGAATGCAGAGAGATGAAGTCCAGTTAGGTCAGGAAAAGCCCTGAAATGCTTTGAACTGGGCATCAAAGGATGACTGGGTCTTCCCTCTAGCCTGCTGTCAGGATATCTCCCCCTTTCATTGTCTTTGAGCTGCTTTTCAACTCTCTAAATTGTAAAAAACTGATAGTCATATAAATGATTCTTGTCCATAGAAATGCAAATGAATAGTGTTTGGAGGACATGCAAATTGATTATTTCCCTAGGGGTGTTGACCCTTTTTTGTCTGTGTGTGTAATTCATTTCAGCCTTCCTGATGGCCTGTTTCTGTGTCTGTCCTCTGGGTTCTCCTTGGAACTGTTAGGATGTCTTACTAGTTCTCTCATTAATTAGTGAGTTACATGAAGCTTTGGCACTTGCTCATTTTTTATGGGTATGATTTTTACCTTAAGAAAATTATCCTTTCACTTCTCTCAAGAGACTTGTGATGCAGGGAAAGGTACACAGAAGGGATGTGTTACTTGCCCAAGAGCACACGGCTCGTAAGAGTCCTTAAGTGTTTTCTTTGCCCCACAGATATAAAAGTAAGGGAATTAAGTAGTTCTTGGGGAAAAAAATCCCAAAGGAGGAAGAGGCAATTGCCTCCAAACCAACAGTGACATCTGCACTGCAGCTGAGACATTCCGGTCGCCCGAGCCTCTGATGGTTGGCCAAATCCTGTTCCTAGAGGATTCTGGGGGGAGGAGGTGTATGACTGGGAAAGGGGGTGGGAACTGTGATGGTTAATTTTATGTGTCAACTTGACTGAGCCACAGGGTGGCCAGATATTGGTTACACGTCGTTATGGGTGCATCTCTGAGGGCATTTCTGGATGGGACTAACGTCTGAATTGGCAATGGCTGGGTACAACAGATTGCCCTCCCTGGTGTGGGTGAATGTGACGACCCAACAGCCTTGACTGCCTTCGAGCTGGGATGTTGGTCTCCTCCTGTCTTCCGACTCAGCCTGGGGCTTATACCTATAGTTCTGTGTCTTTGGAGCACCCAGGCAGACACAGGGACCCTGGAGCAGAGTGTACCTGTGTCTTACCGTTCCACTGGGAAGTCTGAGTATTGGCAATCTCCTCACTAGGGCATGATAACTGGCTGCAAGAGGTCTAGCGTGAGAGCGTGCTGTCTGGACCAGGGCTTCCATGCCCCCAGGGGTTGTGAGAGCTGTCAGCTTTCCTTCTGCTATGGGAGAAGACCTGGAAGCTAGAGAGGGATGTGGGGGCAGTCCCAAGTGGGCGGGGTGGTTGGCTGCAGCAGAGGGTGCAGAGTGAACCCCCCTATAGTGGACTGAGTGAAGTGGTGCACCGCCAGGGTGGAAGGGTCACGCCTAAGTCCAGACCAGCTGAGGCACACTGAATGCCAGCAGGGGCCTGAGAAAGCCCGAGGCTGGGAAGTGGACGCCCCTCCCTCCAGAGACCATGGAACTTTCCCGGCCCTCCCCTCAACCTAGCAAAGACCCCCAAAGGAAGGAGGGGAACAGAGGGGGATGATCTCGCATGTGACTGAGTTTAAATCTGTAATGTCCGAGGAATCAATAACATAGAAGTTCTCAAATAAATGTCCCGCCAACAACTTAGTAAATCTAGTTATAGCAAAATGACAAAAATTACATTTTGTGCATTTGTGTTTAGAGTCAGAAAATGAGTTCCTGCTACTCATGCCAGAAGTTAGGAGCTACCCACCTGTTTGTTAACCGACTCTTGTTCCCCTGGCCCCTAGCCTTCTCCTTTCAACCAGAGTTTGCTGAAGACTAGGGTCAATAGTAACTTTCATGGATGCTGAGGGATTCGGCACTTCCAGGTTTGCAGAGGACATTCACATCGGTGGGCTGTCATCTGCGGTTTGGCTTAGGCACACTTGAAGGCTGAGCTGGCATTGCTGCCTCCGGTTTACAGATGGGAAAGCTGACACCCAGAGAGATGAGATGGCAAAGGTCACACAGCAAATTAGAAGGAGTGCGGGGCTAATAGTCAGGCTTCCTGACGCCCAGGGCAACTCCTCTGTGGGTCAGGGACCTGGGCAGATTGCAGAGGCTTTGGGATTTGGGGCAGATTCCTTGAACTGCTGACTTGTACCTAGAGGTCAGTCCGGCCTGCCCAGCCCTGGAGAGCCATGCTCATGCGGAAGGGAGGTGTAGTGGCTGGCCTCTGGGGAGCAGGAGCGACTCATTCTGGGGCTGGGATCCAAAGCAGCCACTTTCCTGCTGGAATCTGGGGACAACGTCACTCCACATGGGCCCTCGTGCTTTGCAAAGCACTGTGACCCCCTGCTGGTGCCTTCCTAGGCTCTGTGAGGCAGGCGAGTGGGGGCTACTGCCTCTGTTTTGTATCTACAGTGAAAACCGAGGCTCGGATGTGGTTTGCCCAGGTCTCTCTGCAAGGAAACGGCAGAGTCAAATGAAATCTTAGGCTTTTCGGTACAGAGTGAGGCTGGTTCCAGCTGCGCTCTTGCACAAGTCCTGGGTAATGAACTCTGAAAAGAGCTTATTGTCTTCCTCATTATTCAGACAGGGAATGAAGATATCCCCAACCCAGCAGAATTACCATAGACACAAATTACGTTTAAAATTTTTAAAAGTCTTCGCTATATTTCTCTCCCACTTTTGGACATTGACATCACAGCCATATAGAAGGAGTTAGACCTGGGCCAACTGGAAGGTTACTGAACGAATGTTCTGCTTATAGGCAAGCTCAGCTCTGACCCTTTGCCGGCCTGGACTGAGCTCCTGCGGGCAGAGCCTTCTTGTTCATGTCTATATCCAGTTCCATTTATGCAGCGCTCAGTAGGTGCTCAATAAAAGTGCCGTGAGTGGATGAACAAAAAAACTCTCCTTGGCCTCCTCTATACCTCTGTTCTCTCCATGGTTCGTCTCACCAAAGTAAGGGCAGGGGGTTCCCGGAGTCATCTTGTCCAACTGCTTTGTGTTACAGATGAGGTCCAGAGGAGGTGAGGGACAGATGGGGGGCCACCCAGCAAGGGAGAGGAAGCACAGGCGCAAGAGGACCACCTCCTTGCTCTAGAGCTCATCCTGAGATCTCACAGCCTCTGTCTTCTGGGCCAGGAGGACAACCCTGGCCAGGGGAGATGAGAGTCCCTTTACTGGTCATGTTGCTGCGAGTCTGACGCAGCCTTCTAAGGGCCATGCCCAGGGAGACTTCCTGGCCGGTGGGCCGTCTTTGGATTATGAGATTGATTCCCCCGGAGGCCTGGGCCACATGCCTTCACCTGAAGAGGAGAGCAGCTCTTTTGGTGAGAGATGTTCCTATGTTGAAGTGGCACAGATGCCGCCCCACTTGGGATGCAGAGGCGGAAGGAAGTGGAATGCAGGGATGCAGAGCTCCTTGATGAGAGGGTATGGAAGAGGACGTGTCTCCCAGGGGTGGTGCGGGAGGAGGGTGATCTGGGCAGGGAACCAGGCAGAGGTGAGCTGACCCTGAGCCAGGGGAAAACAGCCTGTGGGAGGAGGCAGCCTGGGCAGAGCGGCCGGTGGCAGCATGGCACCCTGTTATAGGAGAGGTCAGGAGAGAGAAGTGAGTCCTAAGCTTTAGCCTGGGCTGTCCCACAGCTTCCCAACCTTTCCCCATAACTTGGGCAGCTCAGGGTGTGTCAGGGATCAACTGGGGAAGAAGTGCATGCCCTGGGGGCCGGGAATCCTGGTCCTAATCTGGGCATTTTCAGATTTCATGTTGCTTCTCAGAACCCAGTTCCTGCATTAGCAAAAAAAATGGATAAAGAAATTTACCCTGGTGTCACCATGGGATGCGCAAGCTCTGTCCATGGGACTGTCTGTTTTGTGCATTGCTGGCTCCCCACCCTTGGCGTCTGGTACATGCTGCAAATGCGTGGTGACTCCACACATAGCTAGTACTTTGGAGCACTGCCCAGGTGCCAAGTGTGCATCCCATCTCAGCCATGTCATCCTCATCAAAACTATCCCTGCTCTCGGCGGGGCAAGGTGACTCTCCAGGGCCACACTACTGGTCAGTGCAGAGCTGGGATGCAACTCTGGGCTGTCTGGCTCCAGAGCTGAGGTTACCTGTTCTGTAAACTGTAAAGTTTTGCACAAGTAAGACAAGCCAGTCCCCAGAGGAAGGAGAGGCACTATGATTGTCACTCAGTGGCTGAGGACATGGGGACAGGGAGAGGCAGTGATGTGTCCCAGACTTCCAGAGCATTTGTGTCCGTGCTCTTTCTAGAAGAATTCCCCATGTGCTTTTTTCTGTAGCCAGGGCCACTGAAGTGCTTTCTCGCATCTGGGTCTGGAGGGGATGTTCCCGGATGGTAGACCCCCATCCCCCCCCACTGTGTCTCAGCCACTCACGGCCATGTCCACACTTGTGGCTGGGGTCAAGTCGGCCTCACTCAGCTGCTGCAACGCCCCAAGGCTGCCAGTCTTCTGCTTCCGCCACTTGGCTCGCTGATTCTGGAACCAGATCTAAATGATGGAGATAAATAAAAGGATTTTTCTCCACCTAGTACCTTCCCCTGAATACATAATCATGTTGGCCTCCATGGGTCCGGCCCTTTACAGTCTAGAAAGCTCCATGGCATTCAGGATTTCTCTGGCTCTGGAGGTCAGCCTTCTGAGAGGGGTCCAGAGATCCCAACCTGCAGTGCCCAGAGGGCGCCTCATGCATGAGGGAAGCACCTGAATGCCCTGTGGCTGGGAGTGGTGGGGTCTCTGATGAGCAGAGCATAACGGGGGCAGCCTCTCAGCTTCGGCCAAGGCACTGTGTGGAAATGTGAGCCCATCACGGCAGGCTCATCCAGTGACTCAGGCAGAAATCTTGATTTCTGTGTCAAAGTTCTGAGATTAAAAATACTGTGTGGATCAAATAAAATCCATCTGTAGGCTATTTCCTGCTGGCAGATTGACAGCTTGCAACACCCACAGGCCCCTTGGCATCTCTAGGTTGAACCCTGGAAGTTCCCTATATTCACGGTGGTGCCTGACTGTCCCTGACATGTGGCCATTTGTCCTTGGTCGTTTGGCTGAGGCAGCTGCTGATTTCTGGGCTTTATGGCAGATGCAGGTGCTACCCACTTAGCTGGTGACTGATTCCGTGTGGGAAGAAAAAGGGGAGAAGCCTAACACAGGGGTGGTCTGAGGCAGAGGAAAAGTAGATTGGGATAAAATCAAGAGTGGAATGTTGGCCTGGGCCCTGGCTCAGGCTTTGAATTTGAACGACTCCATCATAAATATATATTTTTAAAAACAAGAGTTTTTAAAAGTTAGAAAACTTTTGGGGTGAGTGCCAACAGTGTAACAATTAGTTTGGGGTTCGCTCAAGTGGTATCCCTGGTGAGTGACACGGAGCTACTGTGTCTCTAACCACAGAAGAAGCCACAGACACTAGCCTGAAGAAATTATAGATCACAGATGAGGTAGCCAGTGCTGAAAGCAGGTCCTGGAGGGTCCTTTCCACGTCTGTGCTGCCTTCAAAGCGAAACCCAGGTAGTGGAGGTCAGGGGTTGGCAAACAAAGACCTGTGGGCTAAATCTGACCTTCCACCTGCTTTTGGCCGGCCTATGAGCTAAGAATGATTTTCACATTTTCCAATGATTGGGGAAAAAGCCAAAAGAACAGTAATAATCAGTGACATGTGCAAATTATACAAATTCAAATTTTAGTGTTCGTCAATCAAGTTTCATTGGAACACACCATGCTCACTTGTTTATATATTGTAAGCTACAAATGCTTTTGTCCAACGGGGCAGAGTGGAGTAGTTGTGACAGTGACTGAACGGCCCCATAAAGCCTAGCACGTTTACCATCTGGCGCTTTGCGAAAAAGTTTGTTGACCACTGGTCTAGATTATCAAGACCTATTTTGTGAACGAGGCTGCTTGGTGAATGATGTTCTGGGACTAGAGCCAAGCGGAGAGGGAAGGCGTGGGGGCAGATGTCAATGGGCATCTCACTCCATGCCCACCCCCCCAAGGGGAGAAACCCTCTTAACTATGGTGACCTCATTTCCTGGAAAGCAACATTTGGCACCTATGACTGTGTTTATGGGATAAAGCCAATGGAACATTTCAGATGGGGCAGGCCTGCAGAGTCCAGGATACATGGGGTCTCACCCGTGGCCTCCAGTGCATGGAGGTGGGGGGCTGCAGGTGGGGACTGCTGTACCTGCACCCGAGCTTCCGGGAGGTTGATCCTGGCTGCCAGCTGGTTGCGGATATGGACATCTGGATAGTGGGTGAAGTGGAAGATCTTCTCCAGCTCACGCAGCTGCTCTGCGGTGAAGGTGGTTCGGGCCCTCCGCTTGCTCTTCCTCTCCTCTGCATGGAGGAGGGTGCAGCTTGGTTAGTGAGAGTGACCTTGGTGTTGGCACCGCACTGACGCTTTTATGTTCCCTTGTTTCACTCTTGCAACTCCTGCTGCTGCTACTGAGTCTTGGCGCTGGATCCTCATGCTTGGAGTTTTGCAATATTCTCTTTCCTAGAACCCCCTGCCCCTAGGCTGACCCCTCCCATCCATCATGGCAGCGAGGCCAAGATGAGCTTCTAGAAACTCCTTTGACTGAACTTTTTGCTACTTAGATGCCTTCAATGACTCCCCCTTGTCTACAACAGTGGATGGCAAACTATGGCCTGTGGATCAAATCTGGCCCACTGCCTGTTTTTTGTAAATAAAGTTTTATTGGAACACAAACTCACCCATTGGTTTATGTATTGTCTGTGGCTGCTTCTGTGTTATAAAAGCATATTTGAGTAGTTGCAGTAGAGACCATATGGCCCACAAAGCCTAAAATAATTACCGTCTGGCCCTTTACAGAAAATGCTAGCCAACCTTGGTCCACAAAGTAAAGGCTGAACTGCAAATCAGCCAGCCCCTTACAACCTGTTTCCAGCCCAACTGTCCAGTCTCAGGGCCACTCATACCTGGCTATGTCGTTTGTGGGGCCTACTACAAAATGAAAATGTGGGTCATCCTGTTCAAAACACAGGAATAAAGCTTTTTCCTTTTTTCTACAGTCTTTCTCTCTTGACCTGTCAGGGTGCTTTATTCACTATTAAAGGCTGTGCTCCCCTGGGCACAGGGATACTAATAGGGTGAATGCAACCCACAGGGACCCAGAGCCCGCCTTTTGACTTGGCGCCGGGGTGTATGTGCCTGACCTTGACCCCCCCTCACCTACACTGTGTCCCCTGGCCCTCCACGCCACGCAGGACAGAGGAGGCAGTGGTCACGGACAGGGGCAAGGAAACAGGCGGCTGAGAGGCCGTCCCAGGGAAACAAGGAGGTGATGAGGGGGACACAGAGTGAATCGAGGCTCTAGGCCCCTGGCACATACTTTGTGGCCCCAGTGGACTTTAGTTACAAACACAGGTTCAGACATAAAATATTAAGAATTTCCACATGGTGACCATCGACATTAAATCTAAGTGCCAGGCCTCCTTCTGAGTGTGGGCCCAGGCAGCTACACTTCTCACGCACATGCCTGTGAAGTTAGGCCAGGGTGTGTGTGTGTATGATGGCGAATCGGGTATTTGATTTGGACATGGTAAGTTTGAGATGCCTATTGGCTATTGAAAAGAAACTATCAGATAGGCAGATACCTATAGGTTTGGTGTTCAAAGGGGACCTCAGGACTGAGGCTCAAATTTGGGAACTGTCAGCATGTACTTGGCCTTTGCAGTCATCAGTATGGGTATATTCACTTAAGCAGGAAGTATATGTGAAGAGTGAAGGGCCTAGATAAGCCTGGGGCCCCTCCTCCACTTAGAGGTTCAGCAGCCAACGGGGAGACAAGAGAAGGCAACAGGGGATCCCAGAGAGACCAAGAAGGGCAGATATCTGAGGTGGGAGGGAGGCGAGGAAGGTGCAGTGACGTGGACACCCAGTGAGGAAGTCATTTCAAGAAAGGCTCACCTGGGTTCACGCTGTCAGTGGATTAATTACAATGAGGACAGAGGTGGCCACTGAACGTGGCCCCACCGAGCACCTTAACAATGGCCTGGCAGTTCCCACAGAACAGAGACTGCGAGGGCTCAGTGGGTGAGGACATAAGGCAAGGAGAGGCAGAGGAGGCGGCAGCTGCGGACAACTTAGGACGGTTCTCTGGGAACGTGGAGGAAGGATGCAGTTGATAGCTGGAGGAGGAATGTATGTAGGGTCCAGAGGGTTAAAAAGAGAAGAACATGATAACATCTTTTAACTCCCCAATAAACCTCCCCCAGCAAATCTTTCTCAGTCCCTCTTCTGGGGAAAAACCTAAGAGAGAGGACACTCAGACACAAGTGGTGCCATAGAATACACGGTGGGCAAAGGTTTGGGAAGAAAAGAGTGGTCATTAAAAATAAGAGAGGGTGAAGAGGAAGAAAAGTGGAAAACGTCAGTGTGTTTATTGAACACGTGTTATGTGTCAGGAATAGTGCTGCTACACCCTGACCTCGGCCTCCATGTATGTATGTGTAAATGTATGCATATTTAGCTTGCCTTGTTCCAAGATGGATTTGTGGCATCCGGTCCTGAATTTGGTATTTAGGAGATCACTGGAGGACCACAGGGAGACTATGTGGGTAGAATGATGGTGGCAGAAGCCAAGCCAAGGGGAACCAGACATTGGAGGAAGGACCTGGTGGGCAGTGGTGGGCTCGTTTTCTGGTCCATGGACTTTTGAGGACAGGGTAACAGTTCTAGTCTAACTTTGAACAAAGTCCACACGATATCATTTCTAGAATTGTAGGAAAGGTATAGACCCCCTCCCAGAATCACCTTCACTTTTTGTGCCAAGAAAATGTCTACCCTTCTAGCTGACCTCACGGCTCCCGGTTTCTTTCGCATTCCTGCAAGAAGAATCTGCTCAAAGAAAACGACTGAGACTCTGGTACGTCCTGTCCCAGGATTGCCGACCCATGTCGGGAGGACTCAGACGCTCTGGGCAAAGTCACTTCTCAGCCATTTTCTCTGTGTCCGGCAGGTACTGTATCTTAGACAAGCTGAGTAACTGGAACTTAATAATTGTTTGCTTTAAATGAAAAAAATGTGAGATTTTGGTTCCATTCTCAATCTTATTCAGCAGATAAAACACTTTCACCAGAAAAGGTGCTGAATGGTTTGTCTGGGATTTTGAACCGTCAGAGGTCACCGGTCAGATGGTTTGGCTGGAGCCGAAGCTGCTGAAAGAAGGGTGGGGCTCTCACCTCCTCCTGAGATCCTGACTCCCACTCAGCCCACTTTCCCCCGAGTCACAGCTGAAACCACACAGCTATGAAACCACACAAGCTATGTATGAATCAGCTAACTTCGTGTGTGTTTGCTTATTGTCCATCCTGCCGTCACTGGCTAGAAAATTCACTGAACTGGACACCAGGAGACTGGAGCTCTGTTCCTGGCTCACTCCACTTGGGCCACGTTTCATTTACTCTTGGGGCCTCTGTGTCCACATCAGTAGAATGGGGAGGAGAGAGGGGTCCAGTGATCAAGATGCTAAGGTCAGATCGACTCTGGCATTCTGTAATTCTTTCTTCTCTTCAGGTGGAGGCTGAATGGCTGAAAACCGCTCGCCCAGGGACCAGTTTGCTTGGTGAGAGGGCAAGGGCCCGAGGGAGACACTGCCGCCGAGGAAGGGCTCCTGCACCAGGGCATTCGCCAGGCCCAGCTGCCTCTGTGTGGCAACAGCGTTTCACAGGCTGCCTTTGGTCTCACCCCTCCCGCCCGCCCCTCCCGTTCATTGTGAATCCATTTTTCATTCCCTCAAAGTACTTTTTCTCATTTTGCTGACTGTTGGAAGCTTCTTGGGAGTTGCAGACAGAGAGGTTTCAAATACTGTTACCTGCTAGAGTAAGCTACTGAATTTCTGATCTCACCTGATCTCTCGTTCTCTCTCCTCCCCTCTCTCCCTTCCCCTCCCCAAGTCTACCTACTTTCAACATTTAAAAAAAAAGTGATGTTTATTCTGTTTTTAGAGCTGGTGGTGTGCTCCAGGGATAGACGTGAACCCAATCAGAAGGGATGTAGAGAGAAATGGCAAGTGCTAATCCATTGCCTAGATCTTACCGAACGTTTTCTCTGTACACAGCATCTCACAGGCACTGAAGGCCTGTCTGCAGGAGTACAAAACTGAACAAGCCCTGCTGACGGTGTCTCATTCATTCATTCATTCATGTGGCCAGCATTTTAGATGACAGTAGTGCTACAGTGAAGCTCTGTAGGAAATTGCAAAGAAATTCACCAAGTGGACGATTGCAGGCTGGCTGGGCAATCTGTGGGGTCCAGGACAGTGTGGAACTGGGCTGCTTCTGAGAATATGGCACTGTGGAATAGAGGGTACTGAACGGAGAATGCAGGGTGTGGGGCCAGAATGTAAGCAACACGGAGGACAGGGGGAGAAACAGAAGGTAGGATATAACAAAAACAAGCCACCCCTCCTTTTTCCCTAGAAGGAAATTTAGGCAAATAAGGGTTCAAGACTAAGAACAGACTCCTTAATAAAATAATCTTTTCAAAACTCCCATTTGTGTAAGTGAGGGAGAAGCTATTAAGATATATACAGCTTTCCCCAACTTCTGGAAGGACTGGAAGGGCTTAATCTGGAGGTAGGGTGAAGAAGGAAAATCTGAACTTTATTTTGCCTAATAACATGACTGATGACTTCATGAAGAGGGGGCTGCCTGGCAAATTACTGGCCAGTTAGAAACACATTTTCTCTCATTAGCTTTGAACTGTACATTCTCAGGATAAAGGTTTGTTCGATAAATGATGATGAGTGTGTGTGTGTGTGTGTGTGGTGTGTGTGTATGTCCAACATCTCTAGTGACTTCTCCAGAGAATAAGGGGTACTTAAAATTCACACCAGTGGGGAGATGGAGGCTGAGCCCCAAATGAACCAGCCTGCAAGGCTCAAGGTACCCCGCTCCTCCCCTGAGGCTGGCCGTGGGGTCTTGCGGTGTCAATAGTCAGCACTGATTGTCCCCACACAGTTCTTCTTGGGATGTCACGTTAGACTGAATGACCCCAAATTGGAGAACTGTAAAAAGGAATGGTGGAGTAAGAAGGGTCCTGGAGCTGAGATCACTCCCAGTGAGTGAAGCTCCCCGGAATATCTCTGGTGAGATCCAACCAGAAGAGCAGTTCTGGGAGAGACGGACAGGACTTGAACCTGGAGTCAGAGACACAAGGATCTGAGCCTGGACTTTGTTAAAAGTTCAGTTCCTTAGATATTCACTGTTCAATATGGTAGGCACTATCTACATGTGATTATTTAAATTAAATCAAATAAAAAGTTCAGTTTTTCAGCCACATAGCCATAGCTCAACACCCACATATGGCTAGTGGCTACCACATTGGGCAGAACCGATACAGGACATTCCCGACACTAAAGAAAGTTCTACTGGACAGAGTTGCCTTATAGGCTTTCCTACGGGGTTTGTGAAAAAGTCATATTTTGGGTCCAACTTATATAAGTTTCCTCTTGTGTTGCAATTGCCTCTCATGGCCACATATCTCTAGGAGAGTATCTGTCAGTTGTGGAACTGGCTTTGCTGGCACTGGGGAAACTGGAAGATGGGGTAAGTAAGAGGGAGGCTAGACTGGCCATGCCCATCTCTCTGTTGGTGCCCGGGTAGGAGGAGAACGTCCAGTGGGGGTGGTGGTGCCCAGGAGCGCTGGGCGGCCACTCAGAGCAGAACGGACCCGTCCAGGATCACAGGACAGGGTGGGGTGGGAAGAGGGGTCTGAGGAGCCGGTGCAGGACGGATGAAGGCCCACACTTGGATTTCCCACCATATGCAGGGGGAGCAGCAAGGCTGATGCACTGGTTACAGACCACGTGAGTGGTAAGAGATGGGAAGCAAGGAAGAGAGGGTGGAACAGCATGAATGGAAATGGAACAGAGAAGGTAGGAAACAGAACCCAGCCTGTAGGATTTTGGAACCAGAAGGACCTCCTTAAACAAGAAGCTGGAAATCTGAGCTCATTGGTGGAGCACCCCATGCACAGGGTAAGATTCTTAACCATCAGGAAGGGTCAGCACATTCTGGGCCCTGCTCAGAGGGGACAGTGCGGGTGTCACACCCCATTTCCTGAGCCCAGGAAGGAGCACCCAACGGGGAGTGAGAAAATCCTTGAGTTCCTGTTCAGGCCCAGTATCTCCCGACCAGGCATTTGGCAGAGAAGCCGAGAAGTGGGTGGCCGTAGAGCAGCCCACCACTGTGGCTGGCCAAGGGCACCTGGGGGTGGCGGGGAGAGGGCGGAGGCAGGCCGTGGGGAACTGCCACCCCTTTCAAGCTGCTCCTGTCCCCGTGATTAATTGTGGGAACTGTGAATCACACTTCAGTGGGCCTTCAAAGAGAACAAGTCAGCAGAACTTAATTAAACCTGAGCCGTTTAGCACATCGATCATAAGAAATACACAATTTACACAGGTGATTAGGCCACCTAATTATACGCCAATGTTTCCCGAGCTCAGCTCCCTCCCCTGATTGTTCCTTCTCTGCCATATGCTAATTGGCCCTGGCTGCTCAGCCAAGGCCCCCAGGGGCTCTGCCCCTGGGCAAAGTCTCTGGAAATGGGCCTTGACCTTGTTTTCCTAAGGCAGGGTGTTCAGCATGGAGGAGACGCAGGCCTCATGTGGAGCCCTCCTGTGGGTGGGGGGACACCTCCTGGACGACAGGCGGGGTGCAGGGCAGGAGTCTTCCAGGCTGGACTTTTCTCGCCAGTCTGGGCATGGACTTCCTACAAGCTCCAGGGCAAGCAAGCCCCTGGGCATGGCATTCAAGGCTCTTCATGTTTCACCCTTTCTGGCATCATCTGGTTTCTCCTCAATCCTCATTTCTGTACTTCTGTCATTTTATCCCACATGACTTCTACACTCTTTTATTCTCCAGGTGTGTCTGTTCGCACTCCTGCCTCTGTGTGGAGTGCCTGCCTTTCTTTGTCTAGTGAACTCCTACTCATCTGTCAAAACTCAAGTCAATCAAATGTTCCCCCTTCTCTCCAAGGTCTGTTGTGAATCTCTATGGAGAAACAACAGGTTTGTGTTTTTTATAAAAATAAATTAAAGTATTAAGCTTGCAACATCAATCTCTGTTTTTATTAAAAAAAATTCTTGTAGTCTTCATATATCTATGTACCTATCTATGAAAATGTTAATGGTGGTTATTACTGGGTGGTGAGAGAATAGGGTTATAGTTTTATACCTTCTTTTTGTTTATCTGTATTTTCTATCTTTCAGCAATAAACATGGATTACTTGTGCAAATAAACCACAACAAAGAGAATACAGAGAGGGTGGAAAGAGAGAAGCACAAGGAAGCCGCTAAAGCAAACAGCTGAGAAGATGGCCTGCGGAGGATCTGCTGACCGGCTGCCAGGGACGATGGAGGTAGTGTTTTCTCTCTCGCCAGAGTGAAGATTATTATTTTCATACGTATAGTAGCACTTTTGTAATATTTTTATGTATGGATCTCTGCATATGTGCCCACACATATATACACACTCATTTTTTGCCTGTATATCATTTAAAAAAAAATAGCAGCAGAACCCTTTGCTTAAAGGAAATTGTATGGGGAACCCTACAAAACCAAAGCAGTGGAGCTCCTGTACTGATGTGTGGGGGGCACCAGAGTGCAGCATGCCCTGTCACCCCTTTATCCACAGCTGCTCTGATCACACATCTCAGTGGAAGCCTGAAATCCCCCAAACATAGGTTTTAAAAATGCTGATATACATACAGAAAAGGCCAAGGGCTTGGCTTGGCACACGTGACCTTCAGCCTCTCATTTCTCTCATCTTCTCTGACGTTGTTCCATTCTCTTTAGACACCAGCCACACTGAATATTTTTGTTTCTCCAAAGGAATGTTCCTGTTTGTTCCTCTGGGCAGCAGCACATGCTGTCTGCCTGGCTGCCATCTCAGATGCCACCTCCTCTCTGGAGGCTTCCTTGAGGGTCTCACAGAGTTCACTGTTCCCTCCCCTTGTTCTCAGGGCACTTCCTATGCTGTATTCCTGTCATTGCAAAGTGATTCTCACACCAGTTTGCTTAGGTCTGGTGCCATCTACCACCGGTGCTCGCCCTCGGGGTTCCCTCCCCGTGGAGGGCCCCCCACTCTCCCCTGCTCCGCCTTCTGACTGCAGCACAGCCATGATGTCCCCTGGAGGCCTTCACAGGCCTCCCTTACAGACCCGACCTCCTTTGGAATGTGGCCTCAGAGAACACGTGGCCCTCTCCCCATCCCTGATCACAGCTGTCACTGTCCCCCCGTTGGTGACTATCAGATGGCAGTTTGTCATCCCTGCAGGACTATAAGCTAGAGAAGGGCAGGGGCTGTGCTTGTGTTTTCCTTTCTACAGCTTCCCGGCCCCCCACCCCCACCCTCATGGAGAACTTGTGGTGGTTTTCAGATAGGTTTGTAAATTCTCGGACAAGCCTCCCTTTGAATGCTTTCCTCCTGTAATGGCCCAATATGGTGACTCACAGCAAACGGAACGCAGTGGAAGTGCCACTGTGAAGTTCCTTAGGCTGGGTTGTGAAAGGAGGCAGCTTCCACCCCGCTCTCTCCCACACAGATTGCTCACGCTGAGAAGCCACCGCCATCTTGTGAGGACACTCAAGCGGCACGTGGAGAGCCCTGCGTGGGGAGAAGCAGGGCCTCCTCCAACTGCTGGCACCAACTCGCCAGCCATGGAGAGAGCCTCCTTGGGAGCGAGCCTTCAGTCCACTCCAGCCTGTAGGTGACTGCAGCTCCAAACAGCGGCCTTCCTGCCATCCCACAAGGACCCGGGCCAGCACCGCCCAGGTTAGTCACTCCCAAATTCCTGATCCATGCCACTGAGCGAGATCGTAAATGTGTATGTTAGTTTAAGCCACTGAATTCTGGGATGAGTGTTACGCAGCAGTAGCTATGCCTGCCACTCAGAGCACATCCAGGAGCTCTGTGTCGCATGTTAGATGAAGAACACAATGGATGCATCAAAGCGAAAAGTGTTAACCCTCCTCCTCTGTCCACTCTGGTCTCTCCCAGCTCTGACATTCTGCAGCCCAAGGTGACAGTAATGTTGTCAGTGCCCTGCTTGTATCCTTCAGGCCTTTCTGTGCTCCAGATCAACTTCCTATTGCCAGGATATGTATTTCTGGGTAAGCTGGGATGGAGCCTTGCTTTCTTGTGTTTCCAGGAGGCCTCTGACTGATCAGCTTTTCAATCCTAGAACTAGCCTCCAGGGGCCCCCAAGCCTGGAAGGAATGTCCCCAGGGCTAAGTTAGGTTGGGGCCCTGGCGGCAGGGACTGAGAGGAGGTCTGGTAGAGAGACCAAAGCACCGTTATCCTGAGGGAAGTACAAGATTTTGGCTCTGTGTGCTTCTGCATTTCTCCTGCCTGCTCCGATGGCAGCTCCTGGGCCTGCCTGTCAGAGCCAGAGCTGTTGCTCACAGGTGACCGACAGGTGCTGGCCACAGCCCTGAGCCAGGCCCCCCAGTCCCAGTGCTCCACCCCTTTGGTTCCATGCAGTGAAGGGGAGCAGGGGGCTCGGAGGGGAGGGAGAAAAAGAGGGGGGTGAGAGGGATGAAGCCGTGAGGGAAGGTGGAGTGAGTTCAGCCATGTTCCCCCAAAGGTATGTCCAAGTCTGACCCCCTGGCAGATTTTGAATGTGACCTTATTTGGAAATAGTATCTTTGTAGATATAATTAAGGATGTCAAGATGAGGTCATTCCGGAATTAGGGTGATCCTACATCCGAAGACTGGTGCTTTTATGCGAGAAAGGAGAGGGGGCCTTGACATAGACCCAGAGGGAAGGCAAGGTGACTTGGAGGCAGAGATTGGCACTGTGAGCCAAAGACAGCCACGACTGCCTGCAGCCCCAGCAGCTGGAGCGGAGCAGGGATGCATCTTCCCTCAGGGCCTCGGGAAGGAACCAGCCCTGCCCTCCAGAACCATAAGAATAAATGTATTGTTTTAATCCACCCCTTTTGAGGGGAATTGTTACAACCAGCACAGGAAATGAACACAGAGGGGTAGGAAGCCGGAAAGAGGGGCAGTGGATTCTAAAGGGAAAAGGCAGGAAAGCTCGGAGAAAGTCGGAGAGTAGCTCCTGGGAGGGCGGGATGGGAGCAGAACCTGGGGACAGCACAGCCAGTGTGTGATGGGCTTCGAATGCCACACTGATGGGTTAAGGGGGTGATAAACTACAGCCTGAGGCCAAACTGGCCCTCTGCCTGGTTTTGTAAATAAAGTTTTATTGAAACATGAACATACCCATTCATTTACACATTGTCTACCTTTCGTCTATGACAGAAGAGTCCATGTGGTCCTTTGCAGCAAACTGACCACTGCTATCGGCTGTTCCTCCAATCCCAAGAACCCCACTGTGCCTCTGGTCAGCTCCATCAGACAAGATGCACAGAAATCAGCAATGCGCCCCCACCCCCAAACACACACACTGTCACCAGGACTCTTATTGCTGCTGATCCCACCCCACTCTGGTCCTGTTGCCTTTCATTCCCTGCAGGGCCCTGGGGGCAGGGGTGGGGTGGGGGTGGGGGGCAGGTCTGCGAGGGCAGGGAAAGGTGGAGGCTTGTGAGACCTTTGCCCTCTAGACTGCCCCTCCTGGTCACCCTGCTCCTGCCCTGCCTGGTGTGGAGACCCCTCCCCACCTGCTACCCTGGAAAATGATCACGAGTGAAATGACCAAGGTTTTTTAGCACCAGTTTGGGGTGTAACTGGTCAGGGTGTGTCAGAAATGGGAGGGACCTTAGGAATGTTCTAGCTCTGCTCTCTTATTCCCTGATGGGGAAATGGAGGCCTAGAGAGGGGAGTGGCTTGTCTGAGGTCCTACTGTGAGTTGGCACAGGACTGAAGCCTAAAGGCTAGATTTCTGGAACCCCAGCTCCCTGCCCTCCTCACCCAGCACCTCACACACTCTAGCTCATTTGCAATTTCTGCAAGTTGCTTTTGCAGTCTCTGAACTGTTGGCTTTCCAGCTGTAATATTATTTGCTTAGCATTATCCCAAATAGACTTTTTTGTTTTACCCAAAAAAGTAAATTTATTTTAAAAGGAAACCTCACATCATGACCATAAATGGTTAACCAATATTATGCGTCATCAGTAGAAGGTTAGTGTAGAAATAATTATGGAACCACTGACAAATAATTTTTGTCTGTATAACCCTCAGACTCATCTTGAAAACCACCAGTGCAACCTTCTCTAGTCTTTTGGAAATGCTGAATTACAGCATAGAGGGAGAAGTGTGGATTTAAACCATCTTCAGGAATAATCTAGAGTGGATGGTCTTAGGACACAGGGTTCACGTCTAGAGTTACTGCTCATGTAGTTTTTGAAGGTGATGTCTCTTCTCTTCTTGGTTTTATCATCTATTAGGTGTGTTCACAGGGAACACGCCAGCCTCTTTAGGCCACTTAGAATGAGTGGTCTGCTTTTTGCCATCAGCCATTGTCAGGCCTGGGGAAAGGAGGGTGCTCTGGTCTGGGACATCAGACCTGTCGTCTTTCTTTCTCTCCTCTCTCTATCTCCTCTCTCTCATTAGCACAGAGAGGGCAGTGGTGGATTTTATGGAGCTGCAGCAGGAGAGACTTAGGTTAGACCCTTAGAGAAACTGTTTCTGTGAATGCTCATTCAGTTCATGGGAAGCTATTAGTGACCTTTTTTTTTTTTTGTCTTTTTCTGTCTGACTTATTTCACTCAGCACAATGCCCTCAAAGTCCATCCATATTGTCCTAAATGGCAGGGCTTTTTATGGCTGAATAATATTCCATTGTGTACATGACATCTTCATCTGTTCACCCATCAGTGGACACTTAGGTTGCTTCTGTGTCTTAGCTATTGTAAGTAAGGCTGTGTTGAACATGGGGTACAGACGCCGGTCTTTTTTAGATTGCTGTTTCACTTCCTTTGAATGAATACCCAGAAGTAGAATTGCTGGATCATATGGTATTTCTATTTTTAATTTTTTGAGGAACCTCCATACTGTTTTCCATAGTGGCCTCACCAATTTGGGAAACTTTTTAAAGAATGTAGATTTCTGGGCATCATTCCAGCAGAGACCAAGTCATCACATATGGAATGGGCCCGGGAATATGCATATAAAGCCTCACCACTGATTCTGAAGCCCAGCCAGGGTTGGGGGCTGCCAGTGTGTGTCTCCTTTTGAAAATTAAAATGGACCCTTTCCTATTGCCAGACTCATCCTCAGGGTAAATTGCCAGCACCCCAGAGATGTAGCCCTCCTTCCAGAGATTTTCCTTTGCTTGCAGTTGAGCACACCCCGCCTTGGGGGAACTCAGCTTGGGGGTGTGGGCAGTGGGGCTCTGTGATGGGCTCCCCTGGGCTTCCTCATTGATGATCCGACTCCTACAGGACATCGCCAGCTCCGTTTCCTCTTTCCTCACTCAGCCATTTCCCTGAGGGTTAAGCTGAAGCAGAGTGGAAAGGGACTTTGCCGAGGTCACGTGGCAGGCCAGGGCATAATGCAGCCTGGCATCGTGGATTCCTGAGGGTCCCTGGCCCTTAGCACATGTGCACCCCAATGCCCTTCTGCATTCTGCAGGCCAGCTCTGAGGGAGGGGCCTGAAAGCAATCTGGTCACTGTGCTTGCACACATGCCTGGGGTGAGCCGCCGGCAGGGCGGGTGACCAGGCGGGCAGATCCTAGGCAAAGCTTCAGCCGCTGGAAGTCACGTAGGCTGACCTCTGCTTATGAGAAGAAGAACGTGCCGGACTAAGCAGGTGTTTGGGGGCAGCCCGAGTCAGGCCCTGACCTCGGGTCCTCTGCTCACTGGCTGTGGAATTTGGGGCCATCATTTACCTCTCCTCTTGTGCAGATGAGTTTCCTCGCCTGCCAAGGTATGAGTGCCATGCCTCTCTGCTGAAGTTGTAGAGGAGGCTCACAGCCTCTAGGACAATGTCTACCACAGTGCGAATGTGGTGTAAATAAACGGCTAACCTTCTCAGCTGTGGCCTGAACAAGCCCTGGGTCCCCGCACCCTACAGCTGACCGAGCCATGGTGCCTGCCTCCGAGAAGCCACAGTTCTGGCTAGATAGAAAGGCATTTAAAGCTACCAGCCCGGATGCATCAGCTTTTCCCTGCCTGGGCACACCTGGGAGACCCGGAAATAGAAGAGAAATGACCAGAAGACACTTACCCTGCGGCTGGTCCTGCGGGGGCCTTCCTGGGAGGGAGCCTGCAGCTGCTGCTGGCCCAGGGTCCCCTCCGCCTGCCTCTTCCGGCCCGAGCAAGGCCCTCCTCTCACCGGGCCTCTTTAAAATCTCCTCGATGGAGAAGGAAAGGCCCAGCCTCTTCGGGGCCTCACGGCGCCCCGAGCTCGTGCTCTCCATAGCCCCCCAGGGAGCAGGGCCCTCCGGGGCACACGGTGCGGGCGGCAGCGAGGAGGGGCGGCGGGGCCCTTCGTGTGTGCTCATGATGATGCTGGTGGAGGCGGCGCACTTCCTCCCGGACACTCCTGGGATCAAGAGGGCAGGCAGAGGTGGAGAATGGGCAGCCTCAGGTCGGACCATCCAGGCACAACTCCATCTCCGCGGGGACTTCCAGGGCCACTGGGAAACACACCTGGGGTCGGGAGGCAGGTGGAACGGGCTGTACCCCGTGTCAGGACTCAGAATCCTTGCCAGCTCCTTGTCGAGCAAGTCACCCTTGCTAAACTGGGTTCAGTCTTATAGTGAAGGCTCTTTTCCAGGGTGGTCGCCTTTACAATCCCCAGCCAAGGCCAGGGTCCCTGAGGTCACTGCCATTGAGGAATGAGGCAGAGCTGGAGGGAAGAGGGAGGTGCCCCCCAGAGGCGATGTGGAGGCGGTGTGTCCACCTCTGCCCTTTCTCTGGCTGAGGCCTTTTCCTGCTGGTTTTGGCCGGGCCTCTGACAGGATGGAGGGCCCACTCTGGGGCCCCAGGTGGCTAACTCAGTCCTGGGCTGCAGGCACCTTGAGCGGTGTTCCCAGAATCCCTCCTGGACTTCCCTCTGTTCTGCTGCTCCCGGCTCCAGAACAGGCCTCCCAGAGCACCTGGGCTTCTGCTGGCTGGCAGGTGGAGGCTGAAGAAGGGGGTGGCTGGGCCCCTCCCAGGCTCTCTCTCTGGGACCCGGCGGGGCTGAGCACTTCAGTCAGCTGGGCTAACCCTCTCCAGGTGTCTCTCCTCTGGCTCACGCTCTTCCCTGCCCTTCCCTTTTCCCCACCTCACTTTCAAAGTCTCTCCACAGGTTCCTGGCTCGCCCTTCGTTTTGGGGTCCTTTCTGTGTCTTTCCTGCTTGCACGCCCCTTACCTGTCTCCCAAGGTAAGCCCCGAAGGGATCTATTTTCAGTCTGTCTGTCCAGTGAACTGTTGGTGGGGAGCTGAAAGGCATCAACCTGTCCTTGCCTGAATTCTGCTCCCAGTCACTGTGTGACCAGAGAGGAGGGGCAGGAAAACGGCTGATAAGAGAAGAAACTCTCCACCTTCCTTAAGGCCAGGGATGCAGGTGCCTGGGGCAAGGGGCAGAGGGGAGCTGAAGGTCGAGTATTGGGGGCCCTGGGGAGGCATCTTGCCCGAGAACTGGCCATGTGGGAGCAGGGTGGCCACGAAGTGTCCCCAGCCCCACTCAATGTGTTTCCTCAGCCAGGAGAGTGTGTGGGTCATGTATAGGCTGGAGGCTGAGCCAGGGTGCAGTCGGCTGCAGGCCGTCCTGCTCAGAGGCACTTTCCTGCCTTTCCAAATGTCAGAGTGGGAGAGGCCTTCTGAGCCCTATGGTGCACATAGGGAAACTGAGGCTAAGACCAAGTGGGTAGAGTGGATGTCATGGCGTGGTCTGATCAGGTACTCCATTAGAATGCAGACCTTCTTACAGAGGGTGGGGGCTAGGGGAAAGGGGAAGATGGTTACAGGTGTGCTGGGGACAGGGGGAAATGTGGACAGTGGTGGGTCTTGTGGGACTCATATGAATAAGAGATTGTATGGCCGTTTGGACAAAGAAAACTTTGACCTGAGACAAGGAGTGCAGAAGGGGTGCTTTCACACAGAAGTTCCCTCATTTAATCTTCTTTAAAACACACAAGCCAATGAAGACACCCTTGCATGGTACACCACTGCTAGTTTCACTGATGAGAAAGGGTTTTTATTTTCTGAAGAGGTATTCAGGAAGAACACACTGGGAAGTAGGTGGGAGCCATGTATTCATTTATACATCCATCAGATATTTTTTGGGCACCCACTGTGAAGTGCCAGACTTGACCCCAGTACTGGGAAGAGCTACGATCCAAACAAACTCCCTCTTCTCATGGAGCTTACCTTAAGAACAGACAGATAATAAACAGACAATAAATAAATGCTCAATTACAATTTCCATTTGTTATAAGTAAAACAAAACAGGATGATGAACTAGACAGCAGCCAAGTTAGGGAAGGCACTGTGGTGTTTTCAGGTTTGAATTTTATCCCACAGGCAATGCAGAGCCGTGGGTGTTCCTGGGAGCAACAGTTCATGAACTGAACTATAGGGTGAAGGTACGTATCAGGGGCCCCGGGAAGATGGAGACACATGGCAGGCTGTGTCTGTTGGTGTATGGGAGGGAGTGTGTACTGGCTGAGTTCAGATGCAAGTAACTCGAAAAGGCTTAAGGAAAACAAAAAGGTTTGCTAGCAGTTCACATGCTGGTGGGTGCAGGTAGAAGGATCCAGGGCTGGTTAGTTCAGGCACAATAACAATACCAAGGGCCAGGTGCTTTCCATCGTGGTTGTCCTCTGCCATCCCCGGTGCACTGTGTGCGCTGGCTTCTTTATCTTGGTGCCCGTCTCCACACGACTGGTAGATGGTTCTGGCAGGTCCAGGCTTCACGGCCTCACACACACGCACATCCCAAGGCTGCAGGGGAAGGCTTGCCCTCTCTTTTTGTCATGGAGGAAAACCTTTCCAAGGAGGACATCTCCAAGAGCAGATTCCCTTTATCTGCCCTTGGCCAGCGTTGTGGGGCCGTGCAGTGGGCCACTTTTCCTTGTCTTGCTGCTGCTCAGTCTCTGGACAAGGGTGTGGGTCTGTTATCCAGGAGGGAGGCCGGTCGTCGTTGCTGGAGAGCCGGCCAACAGCGTCTGGGATCAGGGAGTGTGGCGGACCCAGTGGGCTCTGACTTGGGACACTGTGCAGGGAAAGGTGGTGGCCATGTGTGAGCGGGGAGGCAGCGCTCCCTGAGTAACTGGCAGCCGACGAATGAAAATGAAAATGTGGGAGAGGAGGGAGAGAGGAGGCAGAAGGAAGGAGGAGCCACCGCTGCAGGGCCTCCCCTCTCTGTGTGTCCCCTAACACGCCTCCTGTTGCTCACAGTGCGACCATGTCCAAAGCCCTCTATGTTATGGCCTTTGACACTCTCGGCCTCCATGGGAAGTGGGAGTTATTATCCTGGTTATACAACTGAAGGGACTGAAGTCTGATGAGGGAAGTGACTCACTCAAGGTCTCTCTGTTAGTTGCCAGCAAGAGGCAGTTACAGCTTGGCTACAACCTTCTATCACCTTTCAAATCCCTGCCTCTTTCCTCCACTCCAAACTCCCTCCGAGTTAATTTAATATGCTGGGTTTTAAGAAGGAACTCCCAAAGGAACTCCTATATGGGGACCTCAGTGGGTTGGTTGAGATTTGAGGTTTGTGGGGCTCCCACCTCATTACCTCTCCCTAGGGCAAGTTTTCAGGTCTAGCCCTCCGTGCATTTAGGACCTGTCATGCTGGCTTCCTGAGGAGAGGAGGGCCTTTGCCTGTGGGCTTGGTTATACGGGCTGAGGGGTCAGGGACAATGACATGGACGTGGTCCAGGGTGGGAGTGGCTTGGTGAGAGGATCAGGGGTTCTCAGTGCCCCTGCCCATCCCCCCATCATTGTTCTATTTGCCCCCGAGACTTGTTTTTAACATGGCCTCCTGGGGGAGTAGAGGTGCCCAGACCCACCATTCCAAGTTCATGTTTGATTCATCTTCACCCCGGACTCTGTTGAGAGCTTTCAAAGCCCCTCCCACAACCCGCCCGGTCCTCATGCCCCCTTGTCTGGGAATGCCAATTTGTCCTTCCAGTCAGGTTGGGCAGATCCTAGAGGCACCCTAAAATGGAGAGTGGCAATACTGCCTGCATAGGACAGAACACAGAGCAGCTTCCTTTGAGGATTTGGTAACCAGAGAGGCTGGGCCTGGCTGAAAATCAGCTCACGTCTCTGGTCAGCTATGTGCAGTCTGCTTGGACCTTGGGTTGTGGGTGACGGTTAAAATCCTCCATTTATATCACATACATAAAGTCATAATAACCTCTGAAGACCAGAATATCAGGATTGGCATAGAGCTTGCAGGTGCTGCTTGAATTGCTCTGGAATAGAACTGTTTCATATACATAGAACTGTTTCTTATATTTAGATCATATCTCCTGATGGACAAGCTGTATCTAGCTGAGACGACAATGCCTCGCCAATGGATTGATAAAGTCTAGTGTTTGTGGGCGTGAGTGCATATGGCTTGTATCTGGGGATGTTTGCCATTCAGTCTTTCATTCAGCAAACATTCCTTTGGCACCTATCACATGTCAGACACCAGGGGACGCAGGGGGAATATATTGAGTGACAGCAGCATGGCTCTTGACCTGGCAGGTCATAGATCAGAGAGGATACACGGGAAGCAAGCAAACAAGCAGATAAAATAATTACAAATTATGGTAAGCAGTTTGAAGGAGACAGTGCTGTAAATTGTATTAAGTTAGCCTTCTTCATTTATTATTGTGTTTAGGAAGGTGATTTTCAGGCAGGAACAAAGTGATAATATCCCTCCCTGTATTACAAAGCCCAAGATGACTAGGGCTCAGGGTTGTACAGTAAAGGATGGGGATATTGCAAAGAGGGTAACAGAACTTTCAAATCGGTGGAACTTGCTTTTTCAAGAATCTCTTTGGAGCACCACGAGATGTCTTGGGGTTCCCCCCTTACCCTCACCAACGGGGCTGTCAGTGAATGAAAACTGGCTATGTTGGGCTCCTTTTGATTTGGGTCAATGGGGATCTTGTCATTGTAGTTCCTGGCTTGATGAAGACTGCCAGAAAGTGAAAAGAAAACAAATGAACTAAGAAAGAAAACAATTCTTAAGCAGCGGCCAGGGGAGTGAGCTGATGTGTGCAGAGGAGTTTGGAGGCAGCCACAGCAGTGATAAAATTTACACCTGGCTATACGGAGGTGTGCATCTTGGGTAGTTCTCAAGTGCATAATCCAGTTGAGTATTACTGGTCCTTAGCATTATTCTCGGAGCTCCCTTATGAAAGCACTTTGCTGAGAGGTGTGCTTTGCTTCTGGGTAAGACTCAGGTGGCAAGTTTTTTCTTACTAGAGTTGGGAGAAATTGCTTTTTCTTCAGGTGAGTTCTAGATGGGCATTTGGCTTTTTGGGGTTCATGTTGTACTGAAACAATACATCTTTAAACTCTCAACTCCCACTTGGCGTGGCAAAATGAGGAGACATGAGAAGGTCACGGAGAGGAGTGATTAAGAGTCAGCCCAGGGCCTCTCCCATGTCACCACCCTGGGCCTGTGGCTCTCAACACTGGCTGCAGCTTAGAAAGTTAGAAAAAGTTTCACGGAATTCTCCCTGGCTGGGCCCTGCCTATGCCAATTATGTCAGAATCCCTTAGAGGGGGAGCTCATGTACCACTTCAAGCTGAACAAATACTCATGGGAGAGCAAGTTCTGGGATAGGGTTATTCTTGGCAGGAACCTGGAGGGCGAGATTTCTGAGGACCAGTTCTGAATGATGCCCCAAATCAGAGCTTCTCAAACCTTAGTGTGCATACAATTCCCTGGGGATCTTATGTAAGATTGGGGCCTGAGACTTGGCATTTCTAACTGCTCCCAGGTGATTCTAATGCGCACTTGGAATGGCAAATCCCAAGATGATCAGTAGGCGTTAGCAATGTGATATTGG